CTGTCAGCCTCCCTGCCACCGCTCCTCTTCAGGCTGGCAACCGACCGACTGGGCCGCACCCGCCTGCTGCGGATCTCGTGCGGGCTGCCGGGCGTGGCGCTGATGCGGGCGCCGCGGGGGTCGCGCACCCAGGCCGCGACGGCCTTGGTGATGGGCGTTCGAGGCGCGGGTGCGTTTTCTTTGCCGGTGGTGGTGGTGGGGAGACACGGAGGGGTTGTAGAGGGGGACAGGGCGCGGTGGGGTGGGTGGGGGATGGGCTCGAGGGCGGGAGGGCCTGGTCTGAAGGCGTTTCTGCCGCTGGTGGAACGGAACTCGTAGACGGGTTTGGTGGGAGATTGGTGAGAGGGGAGGTTGGGTTGGGTGCTGGATGTGGGCGTTCCGCGTAGTGTGGGAGTCGGGTCGGCTGGCGATGGAGCGCTGCGTGTGAGGGTTGAGTGACTTGGCGGACGGGCACTGGGTTGGTGCGGTGCTTTCGAATCGTTGGTGGATTTTTGCAAAGGACTTGATCCATATGCCGACGTAGCCGGTGGAGTAGATTTTGAAATGCGAGAGTGTTGCATTGGTGAAGGTGACGTGGATACGAGACTCTTTAGAGAAGCGTTCTGAGCACCTCTTGAATCCGAGGTATTCGAAGATACGACGATATTCGGTGTCAGAAGTCTTTCATTCATTTGGCTGGATGTCTTTTCTTGCAGTCGCTCTCTTGCCTTTTTCCCGCAGGCCCTTGCAGCCTCTTTCCGTCCATCGCTATCGAAATCCTCGCACGAAGTCGTGGATTGCCGCAGACAGCGAACCTGTGTTTCTTTTGCCTTTTGTGTCGAACCGTGATTTATTGCATTGCCACCAGGTACACCGTCCCTAGCCTGCTCTTCTGGAGTTACGATTTCCGCCGTTTCTCTCTGGTGGCCAGAGAAACTATGGGCCTGCTCTCCTCCGAGGCGTAACCCTTCCGCCACACCGCCTGAGTCCTCATTAACCTCGGATATAGTAATTTCTGCAGAAAAGTCCAGGCCTGGAATCTCTTGTGTAAGCCACGCTCTCCAGTCACTGGTCGACTGCGAAGATAATCTTGGATGAGAAGGACTCTTCTGTGTGGATGTGATTGGAACGTTCTGAACGTCGTGTTTTGTAATAGTGATTGTTGTCTCAGTTCCACTCTGCTTCGAGGCCGGACTCAGTTGCTGCTTCGATTGCCCGTCGGTATCTCTGGAGTATATACTTGGCGACATCATTTCCCTCCCTAGTCTTGTTCTGTCGAAGCCACTCAAGTGGTGTTCATCCCCGTAACGATCATTGAAAACGTCTCGCGAGAGTTCAGCTTGGCTCTTGTGTAATCGAACAGAATGATGATTAGGTCGCAGCTCGTAAGGAAATTCACTAGGAGAATGTCGAGTCATGCGCGAAGAAAAGAACGGTGAGCCTCCGTCTTTAAGAGGAGTCTTCCACCTGTTTCTTGCTCTACAAGCTCGTTGTTCAAGTAGATCCTTCGTGGGGCTAGCAGTAGTGGGTGCCCACGGATTTGCACCTATGGGAACACTAATCTCTTCACCTGTGGTCAGAGTGCCATCATCATTCAGCAATGTTGTGGATCCTCCATCTGCTGGAATACCAGTCGATTGACACTCATCAAGCGATATAGAAATGTCTTTTGGTAGCTGAAGAGACTTGTCAATAGAAATTCTTCTCAGTTTGGCAGCGTAACTGTCAGGCGTGACTGTACGAATGGTACCTTTGGACAGCCTGCCTCGGCGAGAAAGCTTCGGAAATTGTCTTCGAGAAGGCAATAAATCGAACGCTGGTTTTGTGTCCGGAGAATGGGTTGAGGATGCTAACTGTGTCTCCTCGTTGTCTGTACTGGAATGTTCGGTCTTTTTCATCAGTGCCGAATAAATACGCTGTGTTGTGTTCGAGGGTTTTTTCTCGCTGTTCTCCGAAATCCTCGAATTCCTGGACCCTTGCTGCTTAAATAGCGGTTTGACACTGATTGAAGGCTTCTGTTCATAGAACGAAGCAGGGTCCGGGATGCTCGCATGCTCGTTGATCACTGGAAGTTGTTGAGATATAGCTGTTCCGACCGTATTTGCGACAGTTGAATCAGACCAACTTGTGACTCGAGAACGACCAAGTGAAGAAGTGGCGCCACTGGTGGAGTATTGACTGGGTGTAATAGAGTTGATAGCCAGAATTGGGTGTTTCACTCTCATTATGGACGATTGAGAAACATCAGTGCTTGCTTGCGATCCTCCACTTTCTGGAGGAAGGACCTGAGCAGATGGGCTCTCGTTCGGAACCTTCGACGGTTCAAAATACAGCCTGCTGGCTTCTGTCTGCTGAGCGGGAAAGTCAGAGCTTGTCGAAGACCTTCGTAGAAAACGTTTGAAGGAATTTGCTAGCGGTGCTGACAGAACCCTAGCCCTGTCTCTCAGACGTGCCGTTGTTCGGGGTGACTGCTGGTCCCTTTCCGGGGGCGGTATTTTGTCGTATGTAGTGGCGTCTTTATGCTCCCAATTTTCCTTCTGGTCATCTTGTCTCTTCTTGAAGGAGCGTGATAATGCCATGAATGAAGTGCTTTCGCGGAGACGGCGGGTGTGAAGCTGTTGAAATATCTTATCACGTGCGCGAGCGACGAGTTCACGATCTGTAGCGTCTTCATTTGCCCTTTGTCCGTTGAGCTGAGCTGCGAGGTCTGACGATTGAGAGGTATGCAAGGAGATTCGGGACCTTTTCAATACACTCTTCATACCTGAGCTATCCTTTTTGGGTACCCGGTCCGCAAATGCTCCCTCCCGAATGGCAGGCTGAGGTTCGCTGGTCAAGTAAAGCGATCTCGATTTTCGAATCCTACGGAATGATGATGGCTCCGTCGCATGATCTTCCTCGGCAGTATGTGGTGTTTTGAGCTGAGAGTCGAATTCGATAAGACTTTGCGCTTTAGAAATGGGATCCGACCTCGCAAGCCTCTTGGGTGTTTTAGGATACTCGTTAGTTGCATTGCAATCCTGAGATGAGCAGCTGACATCTGGCTGTAGACGGGCGGCAGCTAGAGAGCTTTGCAGGTGACTGCCTTGAGATCTGCTGATACAGTTGATTTTGTTATTATCTGCGTTCGACCGAATATTCTGTTTGGCCCCAAGGGCACGTTCATAGGCCGTGGCGGCAGCAACTTCTGCATATTGACGTGCCACGGCTGGGTCAAGGGATGGTGTTGATGGTTGCTGATGCTTCGAAGCGGTGGAAGAGCCAGATTTTGCCCGGCGAAGGCGATTACCGGCGTTGCTAGAACCTCGTGAGAGCATTTGAGTTGAGTAACAGATGGGAAAGCTTTCAGTTTCGAAGGAGGAGAGATTGCACTACAGGCCACCAGCTGCAGCCTGAACGATGACCGCGTGCATTGATAGATAGTCGTAGGCGCCGGTTGGAAAGAGACAAGGAAGTAAACTCCATTTCATATCTGACAGCCATGCGAGTATGCCCAGGCAGCTACCATGCAGCAAGAGTCTAAGAAAGAGCCATGGCAATGAAGCGAATAGACGGGCGCAGCTGGCTAAGGTGCGCCTGCCATTGCGTTGACTGCGCAGTCCACGATATCTCGTGTCTCGAAGGGTAGCAAAAGGCACAATTATGATTTCCATACCTTACTACCTTTGCACCGCATGTTGACCGATCGTCGAAATCGCACAGTAAAGATGAATGTTTAACCATACAGCCTTCCACCGTATCTGCTGTCTACGACGTGTGTGATGTCGTGGATCTCCATTCCGAGATGAAGGTGGTCAGGCATGCTGCTCCTTATTGCGTATATATATCCGGGGACGTCCCTCCCATCATGAGGTCTCACGAATGCGTACACGAGAAATGACCTTGCCGGAAGAGACACACAAGGTTCGTATTCGCGATCGAGGTTAGCCGCATCTGAGGCTTGCTAGCGTTTCCGTACCCGGCTGTAGAGCACCCGACCACCCGACCGTGCTGAAATTGATTAAAATATTGGACACGCAAAAGGGATGAAAGGTCGCATCAACCTTGAGATCGCCAAGCTCTTGTCCCATCGTCGCATTCAAATCCATCCTTGATTGGATTCTATATCATAATCGACTTCCATTTCTGCACACCAATCCCGCTTGACCCTCACCGCTCCGCGAGCAGACACCGATCTCAATCTCCTCACCTTTTCAGAAGATTTCATTGCAACTGCAGTCCTCTTCTCCTCCCTCTCCCTCTCCGTCTCTGTCGACCGGCTCTTGATCCGATCTGCCTTGCTCCTCCTCAGCGCCCTCTCCTTCCGCCGACTCTTACAGCTGCTATCATTGTCTGACTTTCTGCTAGGAATTCTGACGCAACGATACGACCAGCCGGTTCTTGGATGTGTCGTGGTTGATCAGGTCGGATACTAGGCAGACTGTCACACAGCTGCCGAGGTTGGGGCTGAGGGACGGGCAATGAAGCTGAGATGAGAAGCGCGTGTCGCTGCCGATAGTGATGCTGCTACTGCTATCGTGGTGGAAGAAGGAAGGGCTGGTGCAGCTATGATTTGAGCGTCGAGAGAGCGCCGTATGGGTGGGCAGGGTCGCTATGTAAGGGGATTCAAAACGGAACACCCACAAATCTGCGCAGTCAACCCATTTAATGTGGTCCACGGCTTGGGTGAGAGCAAAGAGGCTTTGGCCGATTTAGGACACAGCCATAAGTTCGAATATCTGAATGCTCTCGTTTCGACCGGTACCGGCTTGAAAGTTCCACGAGACTGATCGGGCGGTGTTTGTGCAGCGCAATGGACCTTGCTCTACATGCTCTTCAGCAAGTTGCACAACTGGCTGCGATGCGACCATTTTGCCTAGAAGCCTTCCAGGAATAGTCAGCAACAGAAGCGATTAAGTTAGCTTGACAACATGCTTCGAGTAGTGGGCATTACTTACACCCGCTTTGCTTCTGGAATGCGCTAATGGCTATTGCTGTTTACAGTTATAATTGAAAACAAGGATCACGCTTTCTTAGTTCTAGCTGTGGTAGATCAGCGGTAGATCATGAGATTGCAGATCTTAGGGCCCCTGGTTCGATTCCAGGTCACAGCTAACTTGTTTCGTTCTCTTCCTTTTTTTTGCGTTTCTTTTTCCATTCCCCCTTACTTCATCTTGGATTACTTACATTTGAAGATTATCGCACCTGAATGTTGACGTTTGTCTAGCCTCTCGTTCCCGCTATTATCGGCCTTGGAGCCAGTGTTCTTCCACATACTAATGCGCCGATTGAGAAATTATCTTGAAGTTACTGCAGCCTCACATTGACTACACAAATCTCCCTTGTGCCTCTAATGTGTTCAATGCATGCATGTAAATCAGGTATTGACTTGTTCAAATACATAAGCACATCGATAGATCAAGTCGATTTCATGCATTGAGCTGACGATTTAATCCTCTGCAAGAGATGCAATGAGGTTACCGCCGTCGAGCAAGTCCGCTCTGCATTTCCCGCTGGCGAGCTCGTTTCCATCATCTGAAATGGCACTCTGCTCATACCATTACAGTAGTGGACAAGTGTAGCTAACCACGTTTCCTTTGGTTCCCAGGATTTGTTAATATGTCCACTGGTATATTTAAGTAGCAGTCAGGACTGATCTCGTGAAAGAGTTGGCTGGACTGCTTCATAGGGACCTTGCCTCAAAGCCGACCAGATTGCTTTATCTACAAAATGAGATTCCCCCTCTTATTCATATCAAGCTATGTATGCAGTAGTCTTTTGTTTTATCAGTTATCTGTCATCGATCATTTCCTCGCACCCTCAGCATTTTCGCCTTAGCTTGTGGTACACTTATTGGCGATCTAAAGGGAAAACTTTTCGGCTAGAGAAGTACGATTTCAGGTGCATATCGATATATATAGTGGAGTTATCGTTGGTACTGGTAGGTCCGTTGACAGACGTAGGAATAGCAACCTTGACTGGATGGAAATGAAAGCTGTGTCAAGTAAATGCCATTGCGTCAGGACATTGGGTATGGTGTCATTTACTTGTGTAAAATGACTTGGTTGACTTATGAATCAGTACATAGACGCATCCGCCGAGGAGGTAAACAAAATTTAGGTTGCGGTTTCCTGTACCTTTACCATTCCACAGTTCAAGCGGCAGGGCCCTGTCTCTTGGCCAGTCACAAAATACTTCTACTCCGCTCTCACCGGTCTGGACCCAGAGTTCTGCAATTACGACGTGGCATACATGCAAAAAGGGTTCGGCTCACTAGTAAGCAAGTCAGATCTTTTGGAGTGTACTCCAACCCCGCTATCGTAAACGGTGGTGTGACCTCCACGATTTTTCACCTTATCCTACTAGCAACTTTCATTATCATTGACCGAGAATGGATTCGCTCAAGGATATCTTGAGCGGCATGGATCATGCAAACGTCATCCGTGGAATCTATGATGCTGATGATGACATCAGGATACCAGTTATTATGTGACGCTGTCTTGAGTTCATTTCGCTTGCGACCTGAAACTACATGCACCAAATCGGGTCATCTAGGTTCATGGAAGGGGTAGGCAATGGACTCCAAGCCCAGCCGAAATCTCGCTTGAGGAGCTTCTCGTAAAAGAAATCACATGCTGAGATCATACACCCGATAGTATTCATTATTGAGTTCGACTCGAACACGGAAATGGTTGTTTCATTGTTGTTCGCCTACACTGGAAGTCACACCTGTGATGTCTTCAATCAAATGTCCTTAACGCTTCCCTTCCTCCATCTTCAGCTAAATTTGTACATTAATGTACTTTGTCAGGAAATATCAGCCGCCTGTCAAGATTCCATGCATTCGCTTCGACTGGTCCATTAGCCTTAGGGAAGGATACACCGAGGTCCGGATGTATCAGAGACTTCTGATCGTATAATGAGAAAGACCTTTCTCTTGTCCAGTTTCCGAGAAGCTCCCAATCAACACATTCGTGTGCAACCTTGAAGTTGGGTAACGGTTTCCGATAACTCGGGATCCAGTCATATGTGAAGACAGAGATGTCGGCGTGGCACATGAGAGCTTGACGAATGTCGTCCAGGCAATGATCTGAGTTTTCTCAGTAAACCTAATCCAAATTTGGTAAACAAGATAGGTGACTTACCAAGATGCTCCTCTTTATCAGCGTTTGTGATATTGTAGTACTCTTGGTGAGCATACTGTCGCACAGATTTCTTGTTTTTTTTCTTTGGTCAGCTTTCCTCGAAACCACGGCAAATAGCAATTCCTTACCAAGCAATGCAAATGGTGGTGCACGTTCAGAGCCCCATAGTATCCGGATCCATCAGCAAGTGCTACAGACGACTTTCCCAGCCTTCTGAGCTCTTCGCTACTGAGGCGTATGTTAGAGTTTTCGAGCAAATCATGCCAAGTAGCATCTAATTCAGGACGTGGAGGGCCTCTAAAGCGACTGCTGTAAAAAAGATCGCTATTGAAATTCACTTTGTGGTATGAAATTGCTTCTTGGGCTGGTGCTGTTCTCACGATGTTAGCAGAGTATCCCAGCCTCATAGAAGCAAGGTTTGACTTACAGTACACCAACGGCTCATGACAATGCTGATTGCTGAACCATCCGCTCGCCACATAGAGTGCGGAAGTGTAAAGTGTGAATAACAGTAAATGGATGAAGACATGCCAATAGAGGCGTGTAACTGATTTTCTCGTACTTTTGCTCGCCCTGTCGTCCGCGTGCTCGGTAAGCTTTTCTTCCGTGGGTAGTAGAGGAGCATCGAAGCTGCCCTGTCGCTCAGACTCGAAGCTCTTTGGCATCGCTGTTCCCATTCCGTACTCTTCCTCAGATATGCCGAAGTAAGACTAAGAGCCGAAAAAAGATGGTGCATCTGAGGATATCAAAGGCAAGCTAAGAATTTGCAAACCTTCAGATATCTTACATGCTGAGGCACAAAGTAAGGGATGATTGGTCAACGTTAAATTTGCAATAGCAACATGTTCAACTCTCCCAGAATATGAAAAACTTCAGACTCAGCACATGTGCCAAACGAGAATTAGCGGTGAGTCCTTATCAACGAAGCACCGGTCAAGAAGCTTGTTCATTGATGCAGAAAAATAGTACAGTAGTCTTCTGCTTCCGATGTCTCGCGTCCTATAGTGGAGATGCCTAAGCGTGACAAAGCAATCTGCTTAAGGATGTAGCAAATCAGATTTCAAGACACTCTTGGGTGGGAGAAGATTTTTACGTCAAGTCACAATTGACCACATCCTAAATAAGAACACCCCAATGTATGTTGAGATATCGGATAATCGGACGCAGTCACCTGCTGTTTTTGTGTGCGGGCCGGTGAACTCCTTGAAGGGTCTGCATAAACACAGACAGGCTTGGCTGGCTTGTGAAGATCGTCTGTGAATGTTTGCATCGACGATGTGGCCTTTTCTGACTATGCACGTAATCGTGACTGGTTATGGAGCCTGTACGGACAACTCATACCGTTGTTTGTCTTGGCACAGGAAAAAGGAATGCTGTAAGTCACTGGCTTTTCCCTCTGGTATAACTCAGACACGCTAAATTCATCAATGTAATGTAGGCTTGGATTCTTGAACATCGTCAGACGAGTGATCCACTCCACTTCACGAGATTCAAGCTATTAAGCAAAGTATGAGCGTTCAGCTTCACAAATCATCAAGAAGCCTAATGCTCATGGAAGGGAGATAGGACAGTAATTTCTAGTGAATGCATCTCAAAAATGTCTGCCCGTAGCTTTCAATTCTGGAGTAGCGTTCCATACTACAAACTTAGCATGAGCTACTAACTGTAATTCACGAGAGACGGAATAGGGAGTAATCATTGACATGCACTATTTGACAAATATGGGAAGGATAGATGCAACTCCTCCCTCACCGATCTCGATGTCAATGAATCCAGTGCTCCACTTTAGCTACTCTTTATCGTGGAGGCGTTAGTTCTAGGCTTAACTGAAAGTGTTGTGGGTATTAAGAACGCTCTAACCCTTTTCAGAAACCAGTATGTTCCCGAGATGCATCCGATCGTGGATAAGTCTCCGAATAGCCCCGGTATAGGATTGATTATGTAGTGTTTTCAAGATCAGGGTACTGGATTCTAATGTCGGGCTGGACTATATGTCTCTTTGCTGGTCTTATAAAGCATCGATGGTAGTGCTAGCTAAATTTCCCCGCATTATCACTACACACCTCTGTGACTTTATTAACTTCCACTTCCTAAAGGTATGATAGGGATACTCATACCGTTGTATCTGAGTTCAGTACACTTGTATCTGATCTCTACAGTCAGCTCAAATCTCTCGACCATGCAACTAAAAGCTCTTATTATTCTCCTGTCCTTCTTGGGTGCCGCTCTTTCGGCACCAGTCAATATCGACGCTCGCTCCAGTAAGCCTTTCAGGTACTCTTTCAAGCATTTTTGCAGACATGTTCAGTTGACGGAGAATTATCAGTCGAGTATGAGCCTGTTGAAAAATCCAAACGGGCAGGCGAGAATGACATTCAAAACTATGACAAGCGTAACATGGATCAAGACGCCGTATGGAAACGTACGTCAGTCGAAGATGCTGTGTGGAAGCGCGGCTCAGACCAAGACGCTGTATGGAAGCGTGGTTCGGATGAAGATGCTGTGTGGAAACGTGGCTTGGACGAGGATGCTGTCTGGAAGCGTGGCTCGGATGAAGATGCTATCTGGAAGCGTGATTCAGATGAAGATGCTATCTGATAAGTGTAGCACCAAAGAGAATACTGCATGCAAGGATCGTAGTCAGTGATAGATAGGTGATCAAGCTATCCAATAAGGATAAGGCGGATAATTAATGCGTCTAGTTACTCTTGCTGGAAATGTCGTCGCATCAATGACTGTATGTGACAAGCCTACATAATTTGGATGTGCTTGTAACGGTGGGTATTGAGTCAATTATGTGAGTCCTAAAAGCAATAAAGAGACTAGCAAAATAGGATAAAGTGTTTAGAGCAAGTCATAGAATAAACAGAGCTCCACACGGCCTGGCTATCTGTTTCTGGTTGCTCCAACAGACGCAGCTAGAGCGAATTGCATACAAGACCCTTAGGGCAATCAATCAACCAAGAAGG